TGTATGTATGTATGTATGTATGTATATGTATATATATACATATGTATATATATATATATATGTATATATATATATATGATATATAACATTTACCATATATAGCATCGCTAGGTGTTTACGCAATTGTCTGTTCTGGGCGAGCTATTGATAGTAATTATCCTTTTTTTTAGGAGCACTAAAAGTATCTGCTCAAATGATTTTTAACGAAGTGTTTATTGAATTAATTGTTTTAACCAATGTATCATAACTACCTGCACTTTTTGCATAAATTCCACTGTGTTATTTCTAGACTGAAATTGGGTTCATAAACATAAATTGATGGGAACTGTATTGATGTTGTGGTGTTAACATATCACTTGCTGACTGTGTTCTATTGTTTGTAGATCTGATTGCCTCTGACCATTGTTTCTATCATGTTATCATCGGCATTTCCAGAATTCCGCTTATTTTCGGCATAAACGAACCATCAACATTCAGTATATAGTCCTATCCAACTGATTAATGTGCTGGAATTTAAAACGTTGCCAACTCGCTTTGTTTCTGAGTACTTTCAGTGATCTTTCTTATGTTCGTATGTACATGCTTCATCGGGCCCTCATATTCCGTGGCAGTACTTTGACCCGATACGCACACGCGTGCAATGTGTCGTAGTCTTTTACCACTGCACCCTCCTCCGGCGTTCTAAGGTTCTTCACAGGATTACACGCGCAGATACACTTTTACATCCATATGCATACTTCTGGTACACTTTTACATCTATATACATACTTCTGGTACACTTTTACATCTATATACATATTTCTGGTACACTTTTACATCTATATACATACTTCTGGTACACTTTTACATCCATATACATGTTTCTGGTGGATGCGCTTTTGCACTGCTGGTGAATGGATGTTATACGTTCTTTCGTAAAAATAATAAACTGCTCACCCGAAACGTACACCCATGTGAAGTCCCAATCGGTACAACTAGTGTAGTATGTGTAGTGTTAACGTTTACCGTGAACGCATAAACAAATGATTTTTAATGCGTCTCATACACGGAAAAAACACAGCAAATTTATTTGGTGTGACTCGCACACTCCGCAACAAGTAGCTTTTCTCTTCGGAATACGGAGGAAAAAAATACAACATACATATATCTAGTTCTATATAATTTCTTAAAAAGGCTGACAAGTTGCTTTGTTTGACGATATATGTAGTTCCTTATATCTCATAACACTTTGAATCCTTTTGCGGGGTGCTTTACACGCACACCTCACTCAGTGTATCAAGTCCTTGCGCGGGCCTAAGAAGGCGTCGGCGATCGGAGATCTCATCGTGGTTTCTGTGAAAACTACGCGAAAGCTACCTACGACCACCGTAAGTGAAGGAGATGTCTTGTGTGCAGTGCGTGTACTTGGTTTATTGCAACGTTTATTTTGTCCGTTCGATGGGTGTATGGGAAATCGGCCTCGTGTTGTGATCGATGTGGAAGTGCGATTGGACTACCGATTATACCGTAAAACTCAGTCACGTACATTATAAACTCAGTCACATACATTTATCAGGGAGTTTTTTTTCGCTGACAGTTAAAATGCGCTCAACCGTAGCCATATATATATGCCATGAGTCTTCGTGTGGACACCCACCCCACCCTGTTATCTTGTATACCACACCCATTCGTATGGAGAGTTCTACCGTACTTCCCACTGTACCCGCCTTGTTGTTTGTTGCCTTGTTGTTTGTTATAGGTATCCCAACTTCTTAGCCTTTGTCCCAAATATGAGTGTTTTCTGTACGAACCGTTTGGTATGGAAAACTCCTTAGCCTTGCGCACTACAATGGCGTATGAATTTGCTGTAGCCGTCGCACGCCCGATTCTATGCTACAAAACCGCTTGTGTCCGATTTACAATCGCATGTCCCATTCTATTTGAACGGACCGATTGTGTCTAATTTACAATCGCATGTTCCATTCTATTTTATACAGACCGCTTGTGTCTAATTTACAATCGCATGTCCCATTCTATTTTATACGGGCCGCTTGTGTCCAATTTACAATCGCATGTCCCATTCTATTTGATACGGGCCGATTGTGTCTAATTTACAATCGCACGTCCCATTCTATTTGATACGGATCGAGTGTGTCTAATTTACAATCGCATGTCCCATTCTATTTGATACGGACCGATTGTGTCCAAATTACAATCGCATATCGCACCACGACGGCCTCAGCGCCAGCCGTAGTTGTCCCAGTATGGGGTGTGGCGTATTCGTCTGTGTGACATTGCTTGGGTTTTAAAGATTTGATATGAGTCATCGTACAGGGGGCTACCCGCGGCGCGATATTAACGTTTATTCTTTTCACCAGTGCCGTCTTTGCGGTCGAGTACAAGGCAGGTCATACGTACATATAAACATCCTGCCTTGAACTATCCATCTGATGCTTTGTGTACACCCCTATGCTTTCTGTGCGATCCAAGGCAATCAGCAACCCTCTATTTATATATCCATCTCCTACGCTACGTGTAGATAGCTTCTTTGCAACAGTCTAATCCGTGGTATATTTCTCATGGAGGGGTTTGGATATATCTTCATGCTTGGCAGAATCACACAAACTAATTCCCGTAATACATGTTTCTGACAGACAAAACAACAAGCAGCGAAAGGAGACGTTCGCCGCGCTCTTGTCGTGCGGTGCAAGGTGAGTGGCAGCCCTAACCGAACAACGGGGTTCTGTGTATTGTGTTAATATTATGTTGAATCACGAGACTTCCCGTATGGATGCTTGACCATAAGTGTTGGGGATCGCTTTTGGTTCCAAGTATCTGTTATATAGTAATTGCAGCTCTGTACTTGCATGGTGATTTGTGGCGATGGCAGGTACGATTTACGTATCATATCCCCTCATCACAACAACAGTGTGCACTCGCTCATACCTCTGGATTACTTTAAAATTCTGGATCATTCCGGTAATCGCGTTAAAGCGTTCAAACTCAGTACTTTTGTTATTCTGTATGAAACTCTTAAATAGTTCAAATTTAGTACTTCTGTTAATTTGTATAGAACTCTGGTCCATTTCTCCTATCGCGTTAAAGAGTTCAAACTTAGTACTTTTGTTCATCTGTATCGACTTTCAGAAAGGACAAAAGGGAATCGATGGACGACAGATCGTATTCGGTGACAACGCGTGCATCCTGGTGAATCAGAAGAACGAGCCCCTCGGCACAAGGTAAGTACTCACTATGAAGACTTGTGTTGAAATAGACGTAGACATATTTGAGTATGCACTAGGTAAGTACTCACTATAGACTTGTGTTGAAATAGACATCGACATTTTTCAGTATGCACTAGGTAAGTACTCACTATAAAGACCGTATATTAAAGACTTCTTTTCATATATTTATATATATACATGTATACACTACATGCATCGTGGTTGCGCCTGTTATATTAGCAATGGTGCCCATCAGCTCATGAATCAGGGATATTAATGACACGTCTGCGGTCTGTTCCTGTTGTATACTGTTAGAGGTCGTTATCTGTCTGAGATTCAAGGTTTGAAATGAACCAACATATGTTTTATACACTATTAAGAACCCATATCTATCTATCTTTGGCAGAATCGTGAGTCACGAGATTCAAGAGTGTTGCAGTGCACTATCATATGTTTCTGGTACTAATTAGAATCCATATCTTTCTTCGGCAGAATCGTGAGTCAGACGGGTGTAATCGGAGAGCTGATCTCCATGCGAACGTCCTCAAAGCTGCAGTCGCTCATCCCGAAATTGTAAAGCTGGCTAAAATAGAATAAAGCTTTTGTGCTCTAAAGCGATCATATGCTGTATTTCAGAATCAGAGCCTTCGATGTTTGTAGATATAGTATTAATTTTAAACTCTGAATGCCCCATGTTTGATATTAAGTAAACTTTGTGCAAGAGCTGTAAGGATAGATACTCGGCGGTCTGCCGTAAGGCAGTCAAGACCCTAACCTGTCATACAGCCAGACTTAATTTAAACAGCAACCGACAACCCGACTGACCCCCCGCCCAAGTCATAAGACATGTATGCCAGTCGTACGAGAAGATGCAAGAATATCTTCCTATCGAAGTGCCCAATATAAGACAGCAGAGGCCCTGACCTGCCATACAGCAAAACATAGGTTCAAAAGCAACAAACAACCCGACTG